AAAAGAGTGAAGATCACATAAATCACTGCTGCTGTGGGGGACAGCTCCCTGAAAGGGTCTCTTCTTTAGTCCGTGGGGCAGTAGTGGTGATAAAAGGCTAATAGAGATGGATGAATGTAATTGAGTGATGTGAAAGAGAGGGGATGGGATGAAATGAAAGTGAAATGAAATAGGAAATGAAGAGGAATGGCAGGTGGGAGGAAGAAATTACATATTCCCCTGAGCAATATTTTAGGTTATGGGTAGTTTGCTTTGTATCTAGATGGGCCCCTAGCCCTCACTTCTAACTGAATCAAGAACAGCAATCTGAGAAATAAAACAGATGAGAAATAATGGGAAACAGGTTAGTAACTTGATGCTCAAACATGTGTTTTCTGGTCAGACAAATTTGGTCATATTGCTTCATGGTGGGGGAAAAAAAAAAAAACCCAGCCATGAGTGTTGGATGACAAGATGCCATATCCAGGTCTTTTATGTGGGAAAGGCCTCTGCACATTTCTGAATTAGGAATTAGAGGTACAAGTCACACAAAGGTAAAAGTTTTAGCAAAGATCTGGAAAATGTGCCCACACAGGAATATTTGTCAAAAATAAGGGTTTTTTCCATGACTTAGCTGCTGTGCACAGTATCCTCTCCCATGGCAGTGGTGCTCACACTCCCAGGTGAGACCAAGTTATTTGTGCTCCTCATTGGCTAGTTCACCATTTTTCTGGTGGAAGGCAATGTGGGCTTTCTCCCCTCAAAGTCAGCTTTTACATGAAAACCATTCTCTCATATGGATGTCTCCAAAAAAACCGTGAAGTCCAAAAGAAGAACTGTTGGTCATTTTTTTCAGCCTGACAGGGTTAAGCAGGACCATTTTCCATCTCTGCTCTCATCTGAAAGGCTCAGAGCAGCTTCTACTATGGAGCCATGAAACCAAAGTAAGGCAGGACTGTGTCCCTGTGGAGCAAAAGTTGTTGGAGTAGACCTGGGGGTGATCTTCCAAGCATCAGCAGTAAGAAAATCCCAGCTGAAGGAAGATGCACAAGCTCTGGTCATTTTGTGCTGGCACATGATTGTCCACACTTTCCTGCAGGTCCCCTAATTCTGCTCTCTGTGACTCAAGCTCAAAGCCTGGGTCTGCTCTCAGCAAGATTTCACTCATGTGAATCACAGATGAACCATCCTCAGTGATGACCTGAAAGCCAGGAGCCCTCAGCTCTACTGCCAGGTCTGCTGCAGGTTTTTAGCTTCACCTTGGGCAAGTCTCAGCTCTTCTGAGTTTCAGTTTCCTGCCTGCAAAGCAGAGGATTCAGTTCCTTTCCTCAGAGCAGCATGGTTTTATAAAGTACAAATATTTGTGAAGTTAAGTGCTTTGACTGTGTGAGCCTCTGAGAGAAGAAACCATAAATATGTGTCAGGCCTATGATCTGAATTCAAACCAGTGAACTAGAAAAAGTGTTGACAGCCTGAAACCAACTGCCCTGTACACACATCTCCTTCTGCCTACCTGAAAGATTATTTGTGGAATGTGTTTCTATTTTTCTCTGACAAAAAAATAGAATACCAAGCAAAGAAGCATGACCCAGTTCTTTGTCAGGCAAGCTCTAAACCCTGCTTACTGGGATGTGACTGAGGTATTGATAAAAGAGAAGCTCATTTTAGGCCACAGTATTCATCCTGCCCTTGAGGAAGAAACAAAGCCTGCCACCTTCAGATGAAATGGATTTGACTTGCTTCAGATGAAATTTGACTTGCTTTCCAAGTCAAAGTATGTTTATCTCCTCCACAACTTCTCTATGATCTGTAATTATATTTGGAGCAGCCAGTGAAATAGGTGAGTGGCAAATGAGGAGAGTCAGGAATGTAACTAATCATTTTATAACAGGAAAACATCCAAGCAGTACACCACTGACAGTACCTGCAAACTCTGCTAATAGTCAATCAATAGGTCTGATAAAAGCATCACTCATCACAAACTGCTTCACCTTCAGCAATCTTTCATGGTCCTTTCTCTGTCTAGTGCCAAACATGGGTGCACATCATGCTGTTCCTGATGCTGGTCATAGGAATGGACTTCCTTCAAGGTTTTGCTTTGGGGTTTTTTTATATAGCATATAGTATATTCAAAACAATGTCAAGTCATACCACACTGAGCTTTTTATTACCAGAGATTTTTGGACAGAAGTACATAATCTAAGTTTTCTGAATTAATAGGCAGATGGTAGCTAATTTTTTTTTTTTTGGTTTTTTTTTCCAACTTGTACATTTTAGATTTACAGAACTTGATTTCACACATCTGAAGAAACACTGACATAAATCTAAATTTATCTTTGATGCATTTACAAATATTCTTTTTCTTTTTATTTTTTTCATTTCCTGAAGTGTCTCTGTCTAGACTTCTGCCAAAAAGCAGAAACTTTCATTTTCTCCTCTATTAACATAAATACCTTTTAACATTATGCAGAGAATGGCATGACTGTCAGTTTCCCATGAGGATATGTGGACCATTCCATCCACCACAGAAACACATCTGCTCTCCATCGGCCAGGATAAGTAGCTCTGACATCTTCCTGCTACACACTGTGCTACTGTGAATATCCCTGAAATGCAGAATTTTTTTGACTCTAGGCTTCTTGAATTCTTTTTTATTATTTTCAGCTTGGTACCCTGAAACAATGAAGGTTAGTTGCATCTGACTCTTAATTGGACTTCACGTTCTATCAGTCATTATTTTTGCAAAGGCCTTAATTGCCCTCTAAAACATTTTAATTAAAACAGCAATTTCTCGATGCCGCACTTCACGAGCAGATTTTTGCGGCAACTTCAAAGAGACGCAGATGTTTACTGAATTTGGTGGGGTGGCATTTGAGGCTGCCTACTGGCAAAGAAAAATTCATAAACATCTCAAAGAAACTTTCCTGTGGTAATGACAACATTTCCTTCTGACATTTTAGCAAGTCTAATATTTCCCAATCTCAACAGGCATATTTCCTAGGCACGGCACAGCATTATCTGCTCACAGGATAAGCCATGGCAGCAGCTCTGCTGTGGGGTAAAAACCTGCCAGTGGTGACACCTTGGGCTTTGGCAAAGGGTACCAGAGGCCACACGTGGCTTTGTTTGTGGGGCTTCTCTAACGGGGTATCAGCAGACTGGGAATAAGGAAACCAAAGTTCCGTTTCTGCTGGATTTTCCACAGCTCCCCAGTGTGATTGTGGGAGGCTGTGTTTAGCTTTGTGTGCCTCAGTTCCAGATGTTAAAAGGCTGGTAACATGTCCTGGCTTTGGGTGCATTTACCTGCTGGTCTATCTCCTAGTGCACCAAGGGGTGCTTGAGGGGGTCTTGGAGTTTATAAAGAGCTGTTTCAGTAAAATTCAGAAATGCTAGGGGTTTACTTTGGAGGAGTTTCTCTTTACTAGCGGCAGCTGAGCTTGGAGCTGACCTTATAATCCATTTGGGGGTAGGTGTTCCCCTCTGAACTGAGATGATGGTACTGGACACATGGCCATGGCAGCCTACATCTAAAATACAGAGTAGGGTCCAGGTATCTTCTGTGGTTTGGGCAGGGGGCTGTCCCCAGAAAATACCCAGCCTGTCCAGCTGAGCCATCAAGGAGGTTGGTCTCCATGTGCAAGGATCACCATCACTCACAAGTGATGGTGAGGCTCACGCTCATTTCTGTGCACAGAACCAAAATTCTTAATGCTGGAAATGACCTCTAAAATCATCAAGTCCAACTGTCAACCTCACACTGCCATCTTCACCACTAAACCATGTCCCCAAGTGCCACATTGAGGCCTTTTCTGGACCATTCCAGAGACAGTGATTCTACCATTTTCTGGGTCGTCTGTTTCTTCCCTGCGTACTCTTCACTCATATTTTTGAAGGGGAATATTAGAAGTATTTGGAAACAGCTTATCCATTCCCACTGTGAGCACTGGGAAAAGATCAGCATGGAAAGCCAGCATGGAATGTGGCGTGACACGTCAGGTAGCTGCTTTAATCTACACTGTAATTACAGTGACAATTTCTGCCTCTTGAAGCATCGGGATTGAAGTGGTTACCCTGAAGGAGAAAGAAGCTCAGTGGGAGAATTTCAACCAAATCTAGGATGGGAAGTGCAGCACTTCCTCTGCATTGGATTAGAAGTGATCAGCATGGCCAAAGGCATCCTGTGAGAGACAGGTAAGCAGGCTGAAAAGAAATTGGAAATATTTAAGGAATGAAGCTGGACTGAACAGAACTAGTTTTACAATTCCCTATTCCTCCTTGATTTGGTAGCATTAGGCAGACTGAAGGGTAGATTGTGCAGACTTATGCGTGACAGCAAGACACTTTTCCACACCAATAAACCCCCTGAAATTAATTGGACCGCTCACAAAAGTGCCTGGGAATGTGAACTAGGCTCGCACATTGCAGCCCTCAGATTTGATCTTTCTTCAGCAATGCCAGGGCCAGACTGCCTGGTGAACAGCTACAGCTCAGCCAGAAATGGCAGTTCAGCAGTGACTGGGTCAAGGTCTCTGTGGACACATCCTTGCTGAGGAGCATCTCAGCTCACCACAGCAAGAAACAGACTGAAAATAAACTGAAGGGAACTATTCTGAAAGTGAAGGGATCAGCCACAAGTTTGTGCTTGCCACAAACTGCTGGGCATTTGCTATTGCCATGGAATTGCTTATTGTGAATGCTTTTAGCTGGTGGCAAATGCTCTAATGAGAATTAGCCTGGCCTGCAATGAGGGAAACTTAAATTTAGGTAGTTCTTCCATGTGTGCTGTAGCACACAGCCAGGTGTCCACAGAGGCATGCTTAAGCTGAGGTGCCTGTTCACCAATTGCAAATGGGCTCCTGAAACACCAAACCATATGAAAAACTCCCCTCACATGCCAGTCTGGAAAGAAGTAGCTTTGTTGTTGTTTCAAAGAATTAGTGAGCCAACAATGCAAAGCTTTGGAGGTGGTTACTGGGTTTTTACTGGAGTCTCTAGGAGCTATACAAAGTCTGAAGACATTGTACGTACAGTACATCTTTAATAAGAAGGGAGCTCACAGTCTACCAAACTCTGCCAAATAAACTTTTAATACATACTGTACTTCACTCAGTAGTTGTCCATCTCTTCTTCATGGAATATCTAACAGCTCTAAAAATATTTTCTTGGAGGAGGATAGAATTATCATTGTTATATATCAATCAAGTATGGTTAATGAAGCAAAGCCAGCATGCTAGTATTGCACAAGGGGAAAAGCCTCCAGAACACAAAGTGGAACAACAAATGCCCTCAGAATTCTGCCAAAGGGAACAGGAAGCTCTGGATGCTGCATCGGTAGGATTCGTGTAGCTCTTAGGCGTCCTTGTACCACAGCAGGTTTGCTTTGCCTCTTCACTGCCACATTTCTCTCTCAAACAGGTAGGGAACTTCCAGACCATTGCAAAAAAGGAAAAAAAAATACAGCAGCTGCAGCAAAGTGTGGTACTATTCAATTTCTTGAAGAGTGAGGCTTTTATTTCAAAATATCATATATTAATATATATATATTTCTATATATATATATACTTTAACTGGTATAAAGTAAATTGTAGATCCAAACTTATACTGTTGCCTGTACTTTGCAATCTCAGAAACTTTAGCAAAGGAACCACTTTCTTCATTTTTTATTTTCAGCTGTCAAAAATCAGGGCCGTTATTTCCACCGAATCCTTTCTTTCACAGAGTAAAGCCACTGTTGTTTTCTGGTAAACAGTCAAAGTGCAAATAAGAAATCCATTTGGCTTGTAAATGCTGAGATGGTTTTAAACTTTCAATACTTTGTCCTCATAAATCAGCAGGGCTTTCACTGTCTCCGTGCAGACGTGGGCGCTCTGTTAAGTCCTTGGGTGGATCTGCAGTGAGAAAATGGGAAAGAGTCAGTTATGCATAATATGTTAGTTTTTAAATATAGTCTTTTGGAAAAGAAAGACCCAGGCTCTGTGGGATACAGCTGATTGATATAGCTGAGTTTGAATGCAATACTAGAGGGGTGTGTGTCTTTTAGCGCTGCAGGGGTGTAAAAATATGCAAGAGACAGATCCTGAGCAAGATCCTGCCTCTGCCTTGAGAGATTTTAAATGTGCATTAACCACCTGGGCTGGTGGTGCTGGACATCACAGAATGTCTTGGTTTGGCAGGGATACCTTTCACTACCCACGTTGCTCCAAGCTCCATCCAACCTGGCCTTGGACACTTCCAGGGGTGAGGCAGCCACAGCTTCTCTGGGCACCCTGTGCCAGGGCCTCACCACCCTTACAGGGAAGAATTCATTCCTAATATCCAATGTAAACCTCCTGTCTGTCAGTCTGAAGGATTGTCCCTGGTGCTGTCCCCTAATGCCCTTATAAAGAGTCTCTCTCCATCTTCCTTGTAGGAGCCCTTCAAGCAAGAAGGACAAGCCAGGATAGCTTTGGGCCTGGGGCTGTGCTCACCCTCCCCTTCCCAGAGTGATTCCAGTGACATCCGCTGGACAAGACAGCCATAAAAATGGTAGACATCAGTTTAAACCAGTTCAAACCAAGGGATTAAATTAACATTGAAACTGCTCCAAAAATTGAAAGACAATATTTCCTTCCAGTGTTTGTCACCTGCCTGACCGTCAATAGAAAACAAATCAATTTAAGGAAGCTGTGAGCTTTAAAACTTTGGCTTTAAAAACTTAATTAGTGAGTTACACTAAAGGGCTAAACACAGAAATAAATGCATGAAAAGGAAGCAATGAAGAATATGCTGGTAAAGACTTCACTGAGTCTGTTGTCCACCTCTTTCTGACACTGATCAATATTAATCACATGTGAGACCCAACTGAAGATATGCACTAGCATTAGAAAATGATATATGGTATATATTGAAAATGGTATATATTGTCCATGATATATATCCATGTATTCATAAAGAAATAAATAAATAAATATATAAAACATACACATATGCAATATGTGTGATTTACTGTGGGTGTACTAATGGGTATCTTAATCCCAAGAGTCATAAATGGGAATGTTTTCCTTGGCAGGACAGCAGCTAACGTAAATGTATTTAGTGTAAGGAAAAGCCTTCATTAAAACAGTTTACAGTTTACAGCCTATGGAGACTGGCTGTAGCCTTCTGCCTAATCACCACAGAGAGAGCTGGAATGATGACTGATTTGTCTTATTTCTTCTGCTTTCTTAACTTTAACTACCCAAATTAGACACACATGGCCCAGTCTTGGAACCTGGATTGTGGTCAGGGCGGATTACATTGTAATCTTGTTCTCTGCTGCTGTCTGGAAAAATGGCAAAACAAAGAAAAAAAGTGAAAAAAAAAAAGCCTGTTTCGGGATCTGATTGCTTCCATTATTTTATATTTATGTTGCTAGAGTTGACACAGTGGTACGGATTGGAGCAAAGTTCCAGGGACTAAGAAGTAGAATTTCTTCTCAGAAAATGCAAGAGACAGTTGCTGAGCACATCATGTCACGTTGCCTTTGTCAATTGGGTTCTGTAATGATATTTTAAAGCAACAAAGCAAAATTCTACTGGAAGCAGCACCATAAGGTACTCCCCTCACAAGCTAATTAAAATAACTCCTGTGGGTAAATGAAGAAATATTTTTTCAGTTATGAGCACTCACTCTGCAAGTATTTAATTCAAATGAAATACAATAATGCATACTGAATAGATTGGACCATACATCTGCATATTAATGAAGCTCCTAAATTTCTAGCAATCACTTCTATCGCCTTAAACTAGTTTATATGATGAGGACTGGGGGAGTTAAGAGAAGGACAGCTTCACTGAGGAAAGAAAATGCAATTCCTCAATTATATAACTTGTAGACAGATTGCAGAAGGGCTGAATTATTGTATAAGATACTTCATGTTGCTTCTCAGTTCTTCTACATCACTTTCTTCCATTTTAACCCCCAACTTTCCTCACTGGAAAGGACACGTAGCGAGTTTGTGGTCTGGGATTTTTAATTTCACTGCAAGGCACGTTTATTAGCAAACAGCCTTCCAGTGGTGCTGCAGGGGAAGAGATCAGTGTGGGCACAGAGAGATTTGCAGAACAGCACCATGGAAAGAAACTGAGTCAGGGAACCCCAGTTCCCTCAATCCTTCCTCCTTTTCTCTGGGAGGTGACAAAGAGATCATATGGATCTTGTTTTTGGGGGCCACTTACTGCTTCCTACAAAGAAAACCTCCTAAGGTTTTCTCAGTAGGTCTCCTGATCATTTAATGTGTTGGTGTGGCAGAAGGCTCTGCTCCAGAAATGAGGGCTGGAATTCAAATAATTCATCCCGGGGTAGGTCCTATGGAGGGAAAGAAAGGATTCAGGTGCCAGGGGGATTAATTAGGGTAAAATCTCCTCCTTCAACAGGAGGCCTAGAAGACATGAAAAATGACTGGTGTTAGGATTGGAGAGAAAGTAAAAAGTCAGGAAATTACAACACTGTGCTGCACATTCCTGTGAATTAGCAGCTGGACATGAGTATGTAGAATTTCTTATCAAACAGGAAAAAAAATCTTGAAAAGTTGCTCTTTTTAATTTAGCAGGTTTCAAAAGCCATTTTCCAATTCACAGAAAACTGAAAATCTATATATTTAAAAAAGCATTTTGAGTTGACAACCATGTAATTTTCTCAGAAAAAAATTCAATTGTGATATGAAAATTAGTTAATTAAAATTTTTGAATACAGGTGTAGGTGACAGTTTAAAGACAATGATTGTGAAACAATCACACAATGCAAGAGAAAAGCTAGAGTCTACTTCTGAGAAACACTTTTATTCCCAAGGTAATCTCATAGTGGCAGTTTAGGCAGCTCATTCACATCCTCTCTCTGCCTTTTCCTGCCCAGTGTGGTGAAAGCTGTTTTCACCTCTTGGCCTGTGCTACCTGAACCTGCAGCATCTCAAGAGCCTGGCACTAATGAGATCATGGGGTGGAGCTGCTCTGAAGTGAGACCTGCAGTGCAAACAGAGAGCTGAGTCCTCTGCTGCAAAGCACTTGTACAGCTGCTAATCCAGATGTGGCCAGGAACAGCCAGGAATGTATCCAGGAATGGATACAGGATCCAGCAGACCCCTCTGAGCTAATGTTCTTCCCTTTAGCCACCAGAAAGGGACTCAGTGATGTGCATTAGGGGTATTTTGAGGTGACAGTCTCTGTAGGAAAGTGACCTGGCCATTCAGCAGCTCCAACCTGCTGATTACCAAGCCTGGACCCAGCTGACCAGCCTGATCCATCTGAATTTTCACCCAGTTATGGCCAGAAGCACTGGGTGATCAGGACAGTGGTCTTTAGGACTTTTACAGCAGGCATGATGATGGAAAAGACATGGGTGAGCAGTCATTAGTGATTCCCTTTCCTGTTAAGACCTCCTGGGTGCAGACAGAAAGGAGACTTACTCTGGTGGTCTTGATTTTATTGCCAGTTGCACACATCCATCCAGAATTATCAGGCAATGTCTTACATTCCTCTCCTTCTAGGCAGGGCTCCATCTCGCACCACCATTTCCCAATCACTATAGAAGCTAAAAGAGAAAAGACAACGTTCACAACTATGTTACAATGACCAAATCTAATTAAATGATATCTCAAGGGTCTAACACTACAGTTAAAAGGCAGAGTGCCCATTCAACTGGAGTTCAGCTGTAAGGATTTCATATTTAATTACTTGTTTGGCATCCTATATTGCCTAAGACAGTGCACTGCTTGCCACAGCCTCCTCACACAGGAGATCTTGTCTGCTCCCATGATGTGGCTGCAGGGAATGCTGTGATGGCAGCAGTTCTGCTGCAGACTAAAGGAGCATCCATCCTAACAGCCCCTCTCCCTCAGTGCCCATCTGATTTTCACAGACGTGTACAAGAACAAGGCAAGTCTGAAGAGATTGTCCTCAGAATATTCTCCAGGTCTTCAGGACTTCTGGTTCAGTGTACTCCACATAAAATTATGTCTGCTTTGCTTTCAGGACCTACAGCTGGATTTTTTTTTTACTACAAATCTGTCCAGAATTATTTGAACCCATGGAGAATTTTGGCTTTCCCCATATGCCATCACAGGGAGCACCACAACTAGAAACAAAGGGTAAGGTAACCCTGAAGAGCAGCAGAAGCTGTTTGTTGAAACACAATTATTAATTTTATAGAAACCATATTATCTCTAAAAGTAACTTTTAATTTCCAAATATTTAACACTGTAAATAATAGCAGTGTTTGGACCCAGTTGTTTGAATTTAATTGGCACATATGTTTACAACCTTGAATGTACCTTAATGAAGTTTCTTGCCTGGGAATTGGTATCGGACTATATCCTTAGCTGTATCTTAATGACATTTTTTGTCTGGGGATTTTGATAAACTTTAGCTAACCTTGCAAGTGTGACGAGCTGGCTCATGAGTGGCTCTTTCTGTGGCTTGCTTTCTCTGGCAAGAATTAATTTCATGGTTGCACTCAGGAAGCCTGTCAAAGCTTTCTGCACAGTCACTAAAAGAGAGATGCTTAACCCATTCATATCATACCTCACAAAATACCTTTGAAGCAGCTGTCTACCTTATACATATATAAATTAATATATATACACATCAGCTGACTGCCATTCAGATTTGGAAAATGCCCTGTTGTGCATGCATTGATTTCAGGACATTACAGAGCTTATAATTAAATTCTTGAATATAAAATTGAATAGTTCAGTTTGAGGGGCCCTACAATGATCATATAGCTCTCAGTGTTGTCTTTCCTGGTTCTTCCCACAGCTTATATCTGATTTTTATCATATAATATATCATGTCTCCATATATACAAGACACAAAAAAGCCTTTTACACCTGTGCTGGCAAGGCAGTTTAATGATGCTGTTCACACACCTGTTCCAGAAGGGTATCATTAATGCTGCTAACAGCAGAGAAAAAAGATCTCTCTCTTTGCTATGCATGAAAAGGCAAGAGAGCTGAATCTGTCTCTAATAATAGACTGTGCAGTGGGCAAACTGAAAAACCATATCCTGCTAAATACTGGCCTTCACAGCAATCATCGGAGCAGAGCATCCTCAGGATGCGTGAGAAGAATCCTGTGACACGGAATCAAAAGTGATGATCATGATTATTTACTAGGAGCAGTACTGTAGCATTAAATAACCACAGAGAAGGATCCTACAGTGCAAGGTACTAAAACCCACAACCTGAACGCCCTGGCCTGGAGAGTTTACCATGTAAAACAGAGATTTGAGGTGAATCCAGACTGAGAGGCAGCCTGGAGAAGCAATGCTGCTCATAGCAATTTAAATGATCTCACTACTTTTTAATGTTGTTAAATACAGCCCAAGCATTCAGATCTTGACCTTGAAGAATAATCAAATGCAAAGTCAGTGCAGAACTTGAATGGCAACGGACTCATGTAGTGATGTATTGGTTTTGGTATATAGATACATGTTATTATTGATTTATGATCACAGTGCAATTACAGCCAAGTGCCCATCAGTGAGCACCTTCACCCGGACTGAAGACCAGGCTCCTTTTATAACAGGGGAAACTAATAGGAGAAATTTGCAGATGAAAAGCTCCTCTTTGCTTCTAATTTGTATGCAGGCAAAATCCTTTGTAAGTCTGAAGCACTTCAAAGCTCACTGTGGTCTAGTCCTCAGCCCCTTACCATGGCAGGGGCATCCAAAACCCAAAAAAATTACTTTCTTTGAATCTTGTGTTTATAGGTTTTCTCTTCTATTAAGAGCCCTTTTATCCTTAGTACCAGTTGTCTTTCTTGGGTACTGCTGATCCTTTGAGTTCTCCGTGATTTCAAAGTTTTACACCTCCAGCTCTGTTCAAAGAGGGAGGAAAACCCTTTAAAATGGATCACAGATTGCAGCATTTGAGATTGGGCCCACCTGTAGGATGGAGCTTCTCTATGTTTAGGTTATGTCACTTCGAGATGAGCTGAAGCAGTTGGTCAAATTGCTCAAATTAAGATGCTCCCCCCCCAGGATGGTTTTTATTCAAGAACTCCCAGATCCAGAGGAACCTGAGCTTCTCAGCGAGCCAAACCACTCATCCTGGGTGAGAATTAGAGATCCCTGTTAATCACCAGGCAGCACAGGCTGTGAGTGCTCACATCATGCTGAATTAGGCACCTGCAGCATTCTGGAGTGCTTCTCTTTGTGCTCTTCTCCCTGTCTGGGGAATACACGAAGCACAGGAGCTTCTCCATGCAAGGCAGAATTGACTGAAACAGATCCCTCTGCCATGGGGAAAGGAAAAGGACATGAACAGAAGAGTTTTGACTGCTCCTGTTTTGCTTGTGTTTTGTTTCAATGCTTTTTTTTTTTTTTCATTTTATTTTTCTTCTCATCACCTTCTAGGTTAAATAAGGGATTGTTTATATCTCAACTATTTTCTAGAAAAATAGTTAATATAAATAGAAAGTTAAATATTCTTTTTAAAGAATATTTAACTCTTAACATGTCACCAATGGAGCTGGGGAAAAAAGGCAACTTTATTCAGGAAATTCTCGAGGTTTATTTTTCAGCCTAAATCACGCTTTTCTAAAATCTTTGTTTGCAAAGCCATGGAATAATTTTTATCAAAATATTTAACTTTTGATGTATTTAGTCTGCATGGATTAATACACACAAAAAGCATTTGGTTGAAATGGCATTTGCAAATCATGGGCTCCAAACAAATAAACTACAAATAAGAAATCTGAAGATGAGATAGAATACAGGGGAAAAGCAATAGAATAGCTTATATTTTCTCATGTTTACACAATTTTATTGCATTTTAAAATACAATTGTTCCCAAACATAATGCACAAAGCCTTAGGTGGCTGCAGGGCACTGCCAGATGAGCTTGGATTCAGTGGGATTCTGCCTTCAAAGTTCACGAGAACCTTTGGAGGTTGCACAAGGGTAGTGACCGTGCTCTGATTTGCTCCTGTGCATCATCTGGAGCACAAAGTTTTGATGCATGAAGGCAGCTGGCTGGGGAAAAGTTTCCCCTTGAATTTCAGCATCAAAGTATTCTATTAAGGAGCAGTGGAAATGCGGTGAACACCTTCATATACCTTCACCTAAAAGATCAAATCAACATGGAAACATTAATTGTTCAATCATCCTCCTCTTGAGTCAAACAAAGTTTGGAAAAAATACACAATCCAATTGATTAAAGATGCCTGTTGAAACTCCTGAATTTATTACGTTTCACATTTCTCAGTCTTCAAGTTCTTGCATTAAACTGAAGCTACTCAGTTCCTCAAAACCATTTCACAGGTGATTAACAGGACATGGAGAGAGAAAATGTGCACACACAGCCCAGACACTCACAGGCAATTGCTACTGTCGTTTTTACTACTCCTGTCTGTAGAGAAAATGCAAATTCTTTCTGTTTTGTTTTGCAGATAAAATTCTCCTTAACTTTTCTGCATCTATATTTAGGAAATGGCTTTAACAATATGACAGAGTCTATATGGCAAAAAGTATAAAGACATTATATTTAACAATGTAACAATAAGACCATCCTCACAGAGCAACAGATAACTTTAATTCATGTTTATGGAATACCCTGAAATATGAAAACAGAGCAAAGTATCATCATGCATTTTTCAACAGTTTAAAGGGAACATGCTATGTATTAAAATGTTCCAAGATTGCTTCTGCAGTTGCCATTATAAAGCCACAGCAGCTCTCATTTTGCCTGTGATAAAGTGGGCACGTTTTGTTTATATAGAAATAGAATACAAAGGAATGCAGATAGTAGATTGTGGTTCCTCCTGGTCATGGGTATCATGTTACTGCAAGGAATAAGAAGCTCATTTTCAAAGCCAGTATGACACTCATTGCAGGATGGGAAAGTTTTCCCTGTAAGTACAGAGCATCCCGTTTTAATCTCGTTTCCACCAGTGAAGATTGATATAAATAAAATTTAAATAGAGAACACGTTTCACAGATGTCAGAAGTGAAAAAGACTTTGTCAGCTTAATGAAAAGATATCAATTTTCTCCACTTTATTCAATATATTGTGAGTCATTTTCTAAATGGATTAGATTAAAGGAAAGTTCAAACTCCCTGTGAGAGATTCTTGCACTGATGGAGATTTTGGCAATAGCAACAGCACAGAGGTGGGTAAAAATCTTTCAAGTAGTTTGTCTTTTTTTTTTTTTTTTTTCAGAAAAGATGTAAACTAGAATGGGAAAAACTGTAACCCTGTGCTCACCTATTCCTTATACAACAAAATCTCAGAGAATTGAATGAGACATGCAGTTTCTCTTAGTTTATTGGGATGTCATGGGGAGCAGAATGAATTACAGGGGTGGGAACACACTTTCTGGGAGGATAAGAAAACTGGACTGAAAGAAAGTGTCATCTGAAGGGTTATGTATTTCATAAACAGACTGAGATAGCAGCCACTCTGGGAGCCGTAGAGAAGAAATCTGATAAGTTATAGAATACCAATCCAAAACAAAAGATTTCAGGTTGAATATTGCTATCTGGGAGAAAAGCAGGATGTTTCCTACAGGGAGTCCAAACTATCAAACTCTCTGCTT